AGCACTTTTTGAAGTATTTTGTACGATTGACATTGAGATGTATCCTTGTAAGATACACCATTAGATAGAGCTCGACGAGTTCTGTCTGACGAACTATTGATTTCATTTGGCACAGATTTGAGAGCGAATATTTTCGAGAAATACTGTGAGAAATCGCCTGGAAAACGAGTTTTTAAAATATTTTGTACGGTTGACATTGAGATGTATCCTTGTAAGATATACCATTGGATAGAGCTCGGGGAGTTCTATCTGGCATATATAAAATTTATGTTGGCACAGTTGTCAGTGCGAATGTTTTGTTAAAATATAAAGTTTCAAGTATTTTGTCCGTTGGAAAAGTCGGTACTTTGTTTCCTAAAACTTTTTTGAATAATAAGCATGAAAGCTGAACATGTCAGCGGTTGGAAAATTCTAAATTGTGTCTGGCACAGCAATGCTCGAAGTTGGCACAGTTGTCAGACTGAATGTTTTCGTAAAATAGGCGAATCTGCTGCTAACTTCACCTACGTCAAAAATGCGTTCTGCGCGAAAATGCTGTGCATTGATTAGTTAATTTTAGGGCTTGTAGAACAACACTTATAACTTTTTAATCTAATGTCATACAGAGTTGTGCGATGTCTCATTTTAATGAGAAAAGTTTGCTCCACAAGTCTGCGGATTCAGACAAAATTTCACTTGCATAAGTATCTAGGAAAATTTATTATTGAGCAGTCTCGTTTTCAAGGCTCCTAAAAAAATTGCTGAAAATCCGTGAATAACCAGTTCTAGGCCCGAAAGCGATAGTTAGACACTTCAGGTTAGCTTCCCATGTGCTTATCTCAAAGTCGATATTTCGGATGAAAATTGTGATTTCTGAGGCGGGGAAAATATACTGGAGTGATGAAGTGTAATCCAGTTGATAGTTCTTCGAACTTTTAAGCGTCACTTAGTCTTCCGAGAGAACCCGAAAAAGTTTTCTTCTCGAACTTTTCCAAAAGATATTGGACTATATGCAATCAGCTATGGAGATCACGAGTATCGTATTTGAAGAAAACAATGTTTTGTATGACAAAAATTGTTTCGAGTATAGCGCGCATGACTGATGAATTGATTATCATCACGACGATAGAGACTAGGGATGTCACTTTACTTACTCATTTGTTACTTTTTCCGGAAAGTAAAACTGAAGTGAGTAAACGAAAGTGATAGTCCCCATTGGCAAAATGTGTAATCTTTGTTTTCTATTGTCCCATCGTTCTTTTCTTTTCATTTTTCTTAGACCATCATTACAATCTTGCACTATCTTATCACAACTGTTTGTTTTCCATAAACAAATCTTTAGATTATTTCCTCCTCCATTCGTGTACTCTGTAGACCAAGAAATATAACACTGAACCGCAGTTACAGTATTAATCACACGTCCACAATTTTTAAAAACAATACGTTACCGAAGAACTGATACGGAAAATAATAGAAAATCTTATTTCTGTTCAACTTTAAAAGTTCAAAACTGATAAGCATAAAAACGAGAGAAAACAAATTGCTTTATTACTTTTGTTTCAAGTAACAAAGGAACTTTTTTTTGTTCCTAGTCACTAGTAAAAAGTAATTTCTTTCTATTACTTTCAAAAGCAACAAGTAACAGTGCCAAGATAAGTGTCTAGTAACTACTACCACGGTAACAAAAAGATTTATTAGTTACTAGTAACAAGTAACTTTTGTGCATTACTTGTTACTATTATCTCTTTCAAAAAAATGCTGCACTCCGATGTTTTTTGTATAACTTTTGAACAGTAATAGCTAGAGACTTGCAATCTTCGGTTTCTTAAAACAGACACCCTGGCACATCCATCTATGCAAAAATCCGGTTGCTGAAGAAGGTCTACCATGGTATACCTTTCGAAGGAAAAAGTTTGAGCTTATTACTCGAAAAATGCACATAGTGTGCTAGATTCGAAAGTCATCTGTAATATAGAGGGACATCTGCTCTACACATTACCGCAAGTTCCAAGCTTCTATCTACTATGGTCCGTGAGATACAACCATTCTTCGAGGACATACTAATCTATCCACCATCATGCTTGTGGACCTTGTTACGAAATAACTGTTAGCGAACGCTCTGTTTTATAAGGTCATTTATTTTTCTGTCTCTTCACGTTTAAATCGTATCATCTTATTTCTTTTTCGACTATCTATTATATTGGTCTGTATTCTTTTATATTATGTTATACAAGCAACGTGTCATACTATTTTCTTTTTTTCGATTATGTGATGTACTATTCTACATTTCTTTCTTTGTCATTTTATTGTATCATGTAGATGTGTTTTTTTGTGACATAAAAGGAGTGAAGTTAAGTTGTAGGAGAGAGTTACTTAAAACAAACGGGACGCGTCTATTCGTGTACATTTTCTTTCTGCTCAGTCTATTCGTGTACATTTTCTTTCTGCTGATTTTTAAAAGATTGTTTTAAAAAGTAAAACTAAAGAGGATAACACTAAGGATAGAAATAAGATCGTACAGAGCAGCATAAGATAGAGTGGAACTGGCAACGAACCTAACAACCTTAAAAACATATGATACATAAAATTTTTTCATCAATCAGTATAATACTGCGATAAAGTACATCTTGAAAATTCTGCTGAATTTTTCCTTTATTACTCGAGCTTTCGGTACGTTACTACGACCATTGTCAAGAGCGAATAGATGATCGAGTGTGCTGCTCGTCGCGGCAACCTTTGTTTTTGTCTCGAGCTCGAAGTAACTTCAGTAACTTCCTGACCCACTTTTTGGATGGCGGGATTTATCTCTATGACCATGTAAAATTAAAAAAGATATAAAACCATTATTTCTTATTCAGGATGATTGAATTTTCAGAGAATGATTAGCGCAGTGCATAAATAATAAACCAACAAGCAAGAGTTGGTTCTGACGTATTGATCTTCTATGAGATTTTCGGAGACCTCTTTAACAACCTCATATGTATCATCCGGGAGAGTTTTTGACAATTTTAGCATTTAGGAAAATTCAGCTAGAAAATACATATATTTCCTGAAACTTTCAATCATTCTGCAGAAGAGATAATGATTTTATGATCGTCAAATTCAAAAATAGCATTGTAATAGATTTCTCCTACCCGGTCTAACGTATTGATATGACATTTATTCTTTCAGGATACAAGCGGAAAAATATTTTATTATAGTATTCTAAACTAAAGCTATTGAAAAACACAAAATCAGTTTTGTACAAATAGAAATTCGAACACATGAACTCAGCAATGTAGTATACTACCAATTTAAATCCGTTGTTCTGTTTCTGTATTCTGTATAACGTTTAGAGACACGCGGTTACCATTAACCGCTATCCGCCTGCACTGATATCAGTTAAAAGAGTTATTTAAAGAGGATCCTTGTAGCGCAGCTGATTATAAACAAACAATCTTCACTGTTTTATGTTTGTTCATATATTTCAAACAAGCAACTTAAACTAGTGTTCTTTTCAATAGGTCCATAGTACGACTTCAATAGTTCAACGAGTTCAATAGTTTTGTTTTCAGATGGTTTTACGATTAGAGCAGGAAAAACAATTACACTTATAGCCATCATGTCGGAATCATTAATCAACTTGCTTTGCCAATAAAAACAAACTTACGAGAATTTTGTATCTTCTCACAGGAACTTTCTTCTCTAGCTCACGAGAATAATGCTTTTACACGAGAATTATGCTGTTAGGGCGAGAATTATCCATAGAATCTCGAAGATATTTTGCTCTCTTCACGAAAATTTTGTATCTTCTCATAGGAACTTTCTGGTCCAGCTCACGATAATAATGCTGTTTTCTGTGAGAATTATCCATAGAATCTCGAAGATATTCTGCTCTCTTCACGAGAATTTTGTATCTCCTCATAGAAACTTTCTTGTCTAGCTCACGAGAATAATGCTTTTACATGAGAATTATGCATTGAATCTACAAGGTATCAGGCTGTCTTCACGGGAATTTTATATCGTTTCATTAGTGTGACAGCTTCGTATCTTCCAGAGCGTGCATAATTCTCGAGGAACACAGCGTTAGTCTCACCGATGAGGACATATTTCTCATGTAAATGCATTATTTCCGTGACGTGGAGAAAATAGTTTTTAACAAGCGATTCAAATTTCTCGTGAAGAGAGCAAAATATCTGCGTGATTCTATGCATAATTCTCACAGAAAACAGCATAATTCTCGTGTAAAAGCGTTATTCTAGTGATTCTAACAAAATTTTCGTGGCACGAACATACTTTCGCTTTGACGATTTCTCTCCCACTGCTGCAAAACTCCCACATTTTTGATGCTTCGGTTTCATTCAAAGTGAACCTCATTGAATGTTAGAGGATTTTTCTGTTTAGAAATCGGTCAAAAAAAGAAAAGTGGGATTAAAAATCAAAATACCGGAGGTGATGCTCCATTTGAGCTTTGAAAGAAATGTCATATGTAACTCTCACTGCGTTGTACTCAGACGCTTGTTTTAAGCTTTATTCTTTCAGAATACAAGCGGAAAAATATTCCATTATAGTATTCTAAAAGAAAACTATCTATGGTCTATGTTCATATTCTGTACAACGCTTGTACAGGTAATCAGACGCTTACTCGTGTCCATTATTAAAACTACATAAAAATGACGAAAAGACTCACAATTAACTGGTGTCAGTCTAAACAGTAAAAAGTGATGTGGAAATATATGTGTAGACCAATATGGAGCCAGGTTCGCAGACAATGCTGCGTTGCTTTTGAATCATGTGTATAGTAAGCGTAGAGAGACCGAATAATACTCAAACGAAATATACTTAAGCACGACAGAACATTCGTTGTTGATGACTATGTTAATTGCGATACGCAAGGAGCATATATAACCTTACCCACAGACAGGTACCGAGAGAATTTGGCTTGCGTCATCCGATATCTACAGGAAGAAATAAACTAATGGTAAGAAAAGAAAACATGTAATCTGAAAAACTATAATTTATCATGAAATATGCAACATGATCTAGTGAATTTTTTGTCTTTCTTCGTTCATCACTTTCTTCATTAGTTTTACATGAATCGCCACATCTTTTAATACACCTAAAACTTTTCCATTGCTTGCAATATATCCGTAGATATTGTATGTGAGGCCAACTTCATCACAAAAATTTTTAACATATGGACTAACATGTCTTAATTGATGTCTAGGCATACGTGGAAATAAATGATGTGCAATTTGGAACTGAAGTCCGCCATGTACGGGATCCATCCATGCAGGACAAGCAACATCCATTGTTGTTCTAAGGACTTTTGCCGGAAATGATTCTAACGGACCATAGTCGTCTGTTGACATTCCAAAATGTGCCAGAGTAAAAAGGACATGGAGCTATTAAAACACGGGAAAGATAAAAGTTAACAAATTCTGAGAAACAGTTGTGGATGGATAGTGAAGCATATTCAGAAAAATGTCCGAAACTCTTCTTCCCTGTGGATACATGAGCGATTATGTGTGGTTTTATGTGCGTGAGAGATGCCATAATGCGTTTGTCATAGTTTCCTCTACAGCTACTACTATGATAAAAAAAAAACTCTAGTAGATGAGTCGTATAATCACTAGATGCCTACAGAGAACGAATCGTTATATTAAGAGACCTGCGTTGTAGGATATGTTGCTCTACCACTAATAATCTGTGCGAGTGCGAAATCTTCATTTTTAGGAACTGAACTTACGGGCATTGTGGCCGTATAACTAATAAGAAGATATAGCAAACGGGTAATCATATTTGGCAATGTTGACAAAAGATAAATGTACCCACACCAGTATATAATTATACCAAGGATTTCGCATTTACGAAACGGTGAACGGGGATATTTGTACAAATAAATGTATGATTGTGCATGTAGATTAAAACGACCAAAACACAGAACAACATAATAGGCTAAATGTTGTACCTGTAAAATACATGTTGTTAATTGATTGCATGTTAGTATACGTTTATAATATGTGGAATATAATGAATCAAGAAAACGCGTTGAAACGGCAAAAAATGGTAAATGTTGAATATCTGGATCATGTTCTGAAACGTTTCATACAAAAGTATGATTAGCCAGAGAACGCAGGACAACACTTCTGCATTTTCAGTACAAAAGAATGAGGTAAGGAATCCAAGGTAATAGATTTCAAGAAAAAGAAGATGCATCTCGATGCATTGTTATGTGCTTTCTTAAGTATACGCATACCCTCCCAAACACTTGCATAATTCTGTCTCTCCCATCACCGGTTGAAGAAATCAACACGTCTTTTCTACACTATGGACAGGTAGAATTAGAATGATTTCTTGCTTTAAGACATCTAATGAAGTGTTAATTCTCGACGAAGTTCGAAAAACGTTTGCAATAGTGGCGCGAACAAGACAGTGAGTCACGCGCTTTGCGAATTTTGTCGAAAACAGAAACACTATTAGATGCTCTACAGTATATGTGTATATGTTAAGTCCCACTGACTGCGTCATATTCTGATGCCTCAGCGGGTCTGGAGGCGGTCGTGCTAGCGTGATAATATCTTGTCTGGCTGATATATTTTCGTGAGAAAGACGTATTTAGATCTTTTCTCGCTTGCATACTTGCAACTTTTCCACAGTATTTTTTCAAAAATCAAGGGGACAGAACGTCGATGAATACACAAATTTCGTACCTGGATGATTTGTAACTAAATGATGTATATTGTGGTTATGTTTCCACCATCCAATAGACATACCACCTAATAGATTAGCTATAAGCATACCAGCTGTTGAATCTATGTAGTAATTGTGTGTTATAGCCAAGTGACCAGCATCATGCGCTGTAAACGTCACCTGATGCCAAAAAACGCCTAAGAACAGGGCTGATAAACAATAATGCCACGTTTTTGTACCAGAATATAAAAGTAAGAACACAATTAATGCTGTTGCTATATAGCGTATACATTCATAACCATAATCCCAATAATTACATTGATAGAAACCTAACAAATCAAAATTTTGCATTTTCAAATATGATCATAATTCAGGCGAGGTGTAAGTACGTCCTAGATAACTGATTAATACTGCTGATCTTATCATGAACGAACTATATAGTTGATTATAATATGCATTTTCTCACAACTGTCAGTATATTTTCATTGTCAGAAACGATAACATTCTCAAAAGAAGGGATTAAAAATGTTTGAAAACCGCGCTGGGAACAATAAATACCAGACGAGGCATGAAGAAATATCCCGTTCAATCCACTGTGAAATCCTTTCAACCACTGTGAAATATGAACATTCAAATTTACTTTGAAACGCGCTTTCGTCTAAAACACCGTACTTATCTAGCTTCTTGAAGAAGTACTTACCTAGAAACCTTAGTTTTGAATCTAAGCGGCGATATGCTTGAATTATACGATGTTGATCATGCAGATTAAGCGCTGGATACGTTTTAGGTTCCAACGACTTTATTGTTCCACTATTCGCTGTTGATAACTGAATTGGTGGAACCAACGACTGGAACTCTCCTTCTTCTTTAGCTACGCTGCCGAAATAAAATAGCGGAAGCTTTTTCCTTAATGTTTCGTGGCTGTGATATGCATTCATTTCATCAGTTGCGTCTTTTCCAACCATATGTAAAATGGCTGTTTCGCCACCAGGATGATATTTAATCCAGTTGTTTAGACGATAAATTTTATTTTTATATATAACAAGTAAATCGCCATCATCGGCTATGCGTTTAGCTATTTCCAGACGGGAATATGTGGGAAGTTGTGTTGTATAATCTGGAGATAGTGAACCGTTCTTTAGGGGCATAACTAGAAGAGACAGTATTCAACGTCTTGTTTAGCATGGCATCGTTCACAAATCCTACTCTGCCGGAGACAGATGACATCGCGAACCTTGCGGAAGGGAACGAGACAAGGATTCAACAGCACTGATAGTTCTTACTCAAAATACGACGGCGTGATTTGGTAAAGTCATTTGTGAGAAGTGTACCTAATGCAAGATCACCTAAACTGTTTGCTATTTATTCAAAACTTGATCGTGTTACTGGCCGTATCCGTGAACCTCTAAACCATCATGATAGTAGGCTACGGCCTTGTACTTTATGACGGTAGATGAACAAGCTTTTGATGAAAACTCTTCGTACAATCTCAGCTGGTGTTTGCAGTATGTTGATTAAGACTGGCTTCTAATCTGCCTATCGGCGGTTTGAAACGCGAGATGGATGTTTCCTCGTCTTTGCTCTGTCGCTGTACATTACATGATGTTCAGTTTCAAACTATCTTTCGAAAAGTACACTGCCTAACGTTACATAGAATATCAAGACAGCTAAGGCTTACTTGTTGGCAAAAAGGTAGTCTTAAGTATTATCGTTTAGTATTGCGTTTATATAGTATTGGTGTACTAATGGCGAAATATCTATGATACATAAAGTCAAAATAAGCACGGACGTAATAATGACAAGGTTGTCATAAGCATGGCAATAAAAGAATAATACGAAGGGAAAGATTCATCTTTTCCAGTAGATTCTTTCCGTTTTTTATGTAACTTTTTTTCTTTCTTTTTTTTCTCACTGCATTGTGATTCATTTTTTCTCTCTCACTATCGGTAACAGTGCCTCTTATGTAAGCGAAACTTTCTTTTTTTGCTTGTTCATTCATTCATTCATTCATTCATTCATTCATTCATTCATTCATTCATTGTTATGAATGGTGTCAAACAAAACTATCAACCACTGAAGGAAAACAATTTTTCGGATGAGGCACAACTCTTCCAACTGGTAGATAGACCCACAAGATTTGATTCGTGTCTTGATCTAATCTTTGTTGACAATACATCTAGTATACATTCAACAGCTATTTTGCCCAAACTTTGCTCGAAGTGTGATCATGATGTTGTTCAGCTTAATTTGTCGTTAACGAGCGCGCCTGGGAAGGAGCATACTAGACGTATTTACGATTATCGAGTAACTAGTTGGGATAGTTTTAGATCTGAACTTAGCAAAGTTGATTGGTTTGGTCTAACAACTGATACGTGCCTAGATGATAAGGTGAATATCAAAATATGTTTGTTCTGCTTGATGGGATTTTATTGCTAAACGAAAATTATAGTATAAAAGTACTTGACATACTTCAAATCTATACAACTACGCATACAATACCTACAAGTACAATAAGAGCTTTGAAAAATGAACTTGCTTTTCCTGAACGATTTGAAAAAGCTTTCTTCACTATTCATAATGTTATTCGTAATGGTCAATCAGTTACAAATAAAACATTACAAATATTAGTTGACAATTTGTACATGTCAATAAATTCAAGACGAAGATATAATTCATTTAAACTATTGGAAAAAGCAAGACAAAATCAAGATTTACCTGATAACATATTCTATAAATCAGAGCTTGTTAAAGCTGGTTTTACTCTATCGAAATCAACTAATAAGAAATCAATTATTAAGTTTATACAAGATCAAACTAACAATGGAATGCAATTATCAATTGATACGATTAATGCTTTAGAAAATGAAATTCATAACGAAGATGTTTTACAAATATTCTACAATATATCAAAAAATAAACAATTAATACAATATGATTTACTTAATAAGTTAATTGAAATTTTTAAACCAGATACTGATCAATTTACTTTAATTGATATCTTTGAAAATGTAGCAAAGAATAATCAAACATTATCTAATAAACTTTTAAAGAAATTAGAAATGGCTTTAAATAGAGAACAAATTCAAGATAAAGTCCTGTTAATATTTGTATATTTGGCACAAAA